AAGCTCATGGGCAAGCTTGCCAACTGCTACCCAACCACTGCACAGTTTAGATGAGGAAATTAAAACCTTTTTTAACACCTTTAGTGGTTGCTCATACAGCACTTAACATTATTGGTGCTTAAAGGCTCTCATGGCAGCTTCTGTCTTAACCCTCCTTAGTCCCAAAAGCCCTGCTGTTCTGGAGAGATATCAGATAGCACTTACATCCCAAAGACTGTGTAGGTACAAGTCCAGAAAGGACTTGCATAAGCAGCAGGTTGTTACAGCAAATTTCTAGGCTCTCCATATACTTTCAGTTTTGCACTGTACAACATTTTTAAAAAAATCTATTCCATGTTTAGTTGGATGGGAAAGACTTTGTGATCAGGAGGTAGGCAACAGTTTTTGTGATGGCTGTTTAAGTTGAGGAACTGTGAAGACTAAAGTTGTTTCGATGCCATTTCAGAATTAAGAATAGATAATGTTGATTTCTCATCCATGTCTCTAGGCAGAAGCAGAGTGATGGACATTGCTTGAAATAGAACTGCTCGAAGGTATGTGTATAATCAGGGAGAAAAAAAGTGGCTGTCCTACCTTGCATATAATTTGTGAAGGGAAAAGTACTTCAGGCTAACCCAGGAGAGCTGACATGTGGCTGCAGGAAAAGTGTGGTCCTACTGTCAGAATTGCATGCAGGTGAGAAATCAGCTGGCAAACACAGCCACGACAGACTGCTCCAGAGAAAGCTATCTGAGTGCAGAAAAGGAGCTTGGATTATAAAGACAGAAAATCACACAGAGGAAGAGAAAACTGGCAGAGAATGATTTTTAATCTCAGCTCTTTGTACTGGATACACTATGCACTAAGGCTGCAGGAGCTGCTGCTTCCATCAGACTCGGCCAAAGCTGAGGTCTGAAACCCAGAGCAGTAGTGAAAGCTCCTGGGTCCTGGCCCTTCTCTGTCCCTCTAACTGCACCCAGTTACAGTGATGAACCACAGAACCAGAGAAACAGAAACCAAGACAATTATGAACTACAATGGACTTGTCATTGAACAGGTGTCTGCCCCCCTGACTACCCAATGGCTTTTTTTCCCTCTTCTACAGGTTTGGCTGCTTGGGCTCAAGGCCAGCTCAGAAAGAGCGAGCTGTGTGGCCTGGGACACTGCTGCTGGGACGAGAGCTGTGAGAAATCTCATCACAGCCTCCCCCCCTCACTAGGTAGCCACATTTTCTTGACGACAGTCCACCAGCAGCAATGGCAGAGACAGGCTCTCCAGAAAACCTTCACTTGCTGTGGGACTATATGGATGGTTTTACTAGATGACTAGAATAAAGTTTTTAAATTAATAAAGCTATACATGTATACCTGGAAGTTTTGCTCATGAGTTAGCAACATAACTGGTGCAATACCTCTGAAGGAGGGCATTTGTTTTTGCCTTGGCCATGTCTGAATTTAAAATCCTGTCAGTGCTGATCTGAGGTAGTCCCGAAACCACTCCAGAAATAACAAATGCAGAAGCGGCACATTACAGCTGCCTGAAAGGCTCTTCCTGCCCAGAGACACCACTGACATTTGCCTGGTTGGAAGAAGATGCAGTGAGATAATTGGGCCTAAAGAGACAAGGCTCGCACTCAGTTTGACAGAGACAGAGGCCTGAAGCTGCTGATGGGGCATCTCTTTGCTGCTGTACTTGCTTCTCGTCACTCTAGTCATTCACCCTGTTCTTTCTACCCTCAAAAGAGAGAAGTGTGAATTCTACCACTCTATTTCGCACCAGATAGGGTGTGAAAACCCTAGGTTTGGTCTTTCTTGCAAACCTCCCTTCTCTGGCTCCAAAATCACCCTGACCAGATCAGTATTTCAGGGTTGGCTTGCTTTTCTGCTCCAGAAGAGCGGGAAGTGGATTCTCCTCCACAGATGCTGCAACACATTAACATCAGAGCAGTTACCAGTCATCCATGAGGAGAGGGTGGCACAGCAAGAGGCACATACAGAGGCTTTAAGGTGAGGGAGGTAGAAGGCCTGTTTAGGAGAGCTCTGGGAATAGAAGCTTTGGAGAAGGTAGAAGATAGGAAATTTCAACTGAGTGAGTGAGGGTAGTCCTGGAGAAGGTCAGAGAAGCAGCATCTGTGAAGAGCAAGGGCTCTGTCTGAGGAAAAGGAGACTGTGCTGAACGTGGAGATCTTCAGGACAAGCACAACTGGAAGTTGGGACCCCAAGTTCTGTTTTGCTGGTGGAAGACAGCTGAATGATCAGGTATCAGCCAGGGTATTTCCTCTTCTATAGCAACTCTGTTGGTTTTAGCTTATTTCCTGTAGCATCCCAGCAAAGCTCTGACCCACATTATTCTCCTCAGGGCTGGTTCCTGTTCCACCCATCCCTTCCCATCTGCAGACAAGCAAGAAAAAAGAAATCTGCCTTTCGCCTCCTTCCTTCCCTCCGAATCAGAGACCTCTTCCTTTGCCCCAGCTTCTTCAGTCACAAATCATCACTATAAGCCCTTTCAAGAACAATTCTCCTTTAGAACACACACCAGTTTAGCAGATCCTCTTACCTCTGACTGGATCCTGCGAGATCTGGCGGTATCTGTAAATAAAACAACAGAAAGCCAGATACAACTGCAGGAAAATCACCAAAACGAAAAAAGCCAGACTGCTGCACAGAGAGTGAACTCTTTGTACAATGACCAGCTGTCTGACTACTGGCTCAGGGTCCCCTTGGAGAACATGATGGCATAAGACATTCCAGGTAACCTCCATTCATATTTTTTAAATTATTTTTTTGTGTTTTTTTTGAATATTCAAACTCATGTTTTATTATTAAAGTTAAGATGCTAGAGCATGATTTTGGGAGAAAGGATTAAATTTCAGAGCAAATTTTGCAGGCATGAAGTGTACAGGCTTTGGTTATATTTAGTAAAGTGATTATGGTTTTGTTCTACTTTATGCTAGAGTGCTATCAGTTGATCCTGCCTCTTTTCATTCCACTTGCATTTGTTCTTTGTTAAATTAATGAGGACTTAACAAAGTAAATCACATGTCAGTTAGTAAGATTTTAGATTAAGCAGTAAAGAGCCACAAAGCATGTTGAAGTCTACTTAAAAGCCCCAGAGCTTTGCTCATACTCAGTCAGAACTGTTTCCTCTTCCCCTGCCAGAGTGAACTGTAGCATCGTTTCCAAGCTTGAAGCTTAACCCAGATGTTTGTTGTTGCCATTTTCGCTCCATTTTTTCCAACATCTAGTCTGCTTGAGCCTGATACCAATATGCCTGCAAACTCTTCATGTTACAATTAATTAGGTTCTTGTTAAGCCTAGCTTTAGCAGGACAGCCTTTCCCTTTTCTTTCACGTAAGAACCGCCAAGCATGTCAAAATTCCACTGGAAACAGCAGGTTAATTTATCAGATGAGCTGCAGCTGCATAGTATAGGAAAGCCTGCCCTCTTTCCCCTTAATCTGCTTAGCCTTGCTTGGAAGGCTACTGAGAAGTTTCATCAAGGTATGCAATGGGCTTTCAGAGCACCACTTACATGCACTGTTCCAGCATGTGGCATTCAAGGAACATAATGCATCATGATTTCCTCACTTGAGTGTATTTACAGCTAAAGGCCTACATAAGATTTGTGCTGTAGAATTTGTTTGTGCAACTCTTGCCTACACAACCACAAAACAAAAACTAAAGTTACTCAGACTAAAGCATCTGCTGGTGCGTTCATTCTGCATCCATGATAACCCTGGCAACTTTCATTTAGGATCCTCCCTCTCTGCTAGAAGTGATTAGATTTCTCTGCTTAGAACACTGCTAGTTTTATTTTTATGTTCTGCCCCAGTGTTCGTGTTCCTGCAGTTTTCTGCAGAGGCTACATTTGCTGGCAGAAATTTATCTGCCATGATGCAACTAAATTTTTGTTCCTAATGAGGCCAGGTTGAGCATTATGGTAACGTTGTGGTTGTGACAGGTGAGTAAATTCAGCTAGAAAATCTGATTCTTTTAGGATAAAACATTACAGAAGGTAGAAATACTTGCTTTAGTTTGAGGCAACTGAGATTTGGGGAGAAGGGGAAAGACAGTTTGAAAGATAAAACACTGCAAGACACCTTTTGTTAAAACAAGTGAAAAGGCAATTAATTTTGCATGCTATTTTTCTAACTAAACTTAATTTACTGCCTGTCCACTCTCCTCCCAGCTTATCACAAAAAACATCATTACAGCAGTTTGAATGGAATATATGACTAAAGGTAGTCTACCTATGCATTGTTCAGTCTCTATATCTGCTGGAAGGTTGTAGAATTTTTTTTCATATATCCACATTAGAGAAAAACCTCTTTTCAAAAGAGATTACAAAATTTAAGTTCTTGTAGCGCGCAGTCCTTCACCATTGCAGCTACATTTCCTAAAGCAGAGAAATGTGAAGTGATGGCTTGGTGGCAGAGAAGAGCAAAGGCACAACTTAGGAATCAAACCCATGTTGCTCTGGCTTTTTCCAAGCTGCCTTTCATCCACGGCTGCTGTGAAGTGCCTTGTTCAAGCAACTGTGTCTCATTGAATGATGTGGCAGGGACAAAGGCACAGCATCAGAAGTGAATCTAAACCATCTGTTAAATGTCATCATGCACAAAACGTGTTACTGCAATAGCTTCAGATCCAGACGTTCAGATTCACATTCTGGTTGGGATACTAAATAAAGAGTAGAAAAATCTTAAGCTAACAGAACAGAAATATTAATCTTAATTAAAGTGATATGCAATTAATCGCCCTGGTCAAAGAAAAACCAAAAGGGGCTGAGCAGACACGTGTCTGCTGTCCAGGGTTTTGCAAAAACAGATTTCAAAACCCCTATGGAAGACCCAGGGCTGGAACAGCTGATCAGGACCAAGATACCTAGCAAAGAAAAATAAACTTCTCATGGCACCGGGGAAAAATTCTGAATTCCTCAGAGCAAGGCAATGCCACTGCTATTCTAGGTACCTGCTCAAAATTATCTGAAGCACAAAACCAAGAACTCAAGGCCTAAAGACAATGACTTTTATAACAGTTTTATTCAAGTCTGTGTGCTCTAGTGTTGAGACAAGGCCTAGATCAGCATTACACTGTAATACAATAATTTTAGCCATTGAACCAAGCCTGCTTGGCATCCTTGGTTTACAATTTACAGTACATCCAAAAAAAGAGCAAAGAGAAAAGAAATCCCAAAACGCCAACAACTTTCATTAGCTCTTTGCTTTGCTTAAATATTGTTCTATAACATAAAATAATTTAATACAAAAAAGAATTGTAATCCAAATACACATAATACATTGACACAGAACAGAGGAAAGATACAGTAGATTATGCACAAGAGTATTCAGTTGATGTGTTACCTACAGTGAAACAAACTGGACATTAATATAATTTAACTATTTAAGCCCAAGAGGGTCAGAGGCAACAAGTCCGGGTCACAAATAAAGCTTTTCAAAAAATAATGCAATCTTCTTTTCCTCTAAGCTTACTGCTGTACAGAAGTTAAAGGAAGGCTCCAACAAATCACTTAATTTGACAACATTTCATCACACAAACAAGAAGAACTTGGTGGCCTCCGTTATTTTACTCAACTCTGGGGTACGTTACCATTTGCTAATGTAACTGCTTTCATTGCAGGTTCTTCGGGCAAAACATACTTTCAGGTGTTACTTCCATAGCAACAGACTTTTGAACACCATGAACAGAAGAGAAGACAGAGGTCTCCAAAAACAGACTGAAATACTTAAGCTGTAAGATGAATTCCAGTCCCGCAGAGCTTGGAGTTCCTTATGAAGTACCCAACATCCTCCACAGTGATTTCAACACAAGCAGGAATTATCCCATATCTCAAAAGAACAGACATGGGGGCATGATCTTACACTAGAGTAATCTACTCACCTGGTTCTTCAGATTTACAACATTGTACCTAGGAAAGTCAGGTCACTGATTTTTGCATCTGGCTTTAAATAGAAGCAGGAGCAGATCCACAATTAATAAGGCAAAAGAAAGGAGTAGCTTATAAAAAGAGGGAGGAAATACATTCTCTGGCTGAGAAATTCTTGGACTTTCAAAGCCACAGAAGAGACATTGTTAAAAGCACAGGTATTTTCCCTGATTTTCCACCACTGTTGCCCTGCCCACTCCATATAAGCCTCTCAACTTCAGTCAGGCAAAATATCTCAGATATTTCCAGCTTGTCCTGAATTTATGACAAAGAAATCACATATACCAGCACAAAGTACTGTGCCAAAGGCCGACAAACAAGAACCTTAGAAACTCTAGTAACAGTGGTGGATGTTGATCACTGCTGAATTTGTCAGGTCTGTCCACCAGCCTGGAGGGATGCATTTTTAAAATGAGAAAAAACACCTGAGAAAAGGCCTCAGGTTAAACTGACACTTGCACATACAACCTCCATGCACTGCTTACTGCCCCTTTGCAGCTAGCAATCTGCTAATGAAGAAATCGTTGCTCTTTCTTCCTGGATCAGAAAACATACCCAAAGCTCACCCTGTTTATGGTAAGACTTAGCAAATGGGCATGGCATGTGCAGTCATGGAAAGGCCACAAGAGTCAGTAATCAAACCAGCATTTACCCAGAGGCTTGTGAAGGAACAAACTCTTTCTTCAGGTAAACTGACTCTTTCCTCTGACAATCAAAGTACAGAGCCTGGTCCTTCACCATTTCTTTCTACAGGACAATCCCCCAATTTAAAGAGCTTTGCTGAATTGGGGTCTTGGGCATTCTGACACACAGATACATTCCAGTGACTTCAGTGATGTTTAAGTATGTGACGAAGAGCTTCCTTGAATTGAGGCCTCTTCCCTTTTAAATTGAAAGTTAATTACCCTAAATACGAGCCTTTACTACTAGATGTTCTTGGCTTTATGTAGTTTTCCATTATTAATGCCAAATATGAGAGGCACTACTGCCTACTGAATTAAAGTGGATCTAGGTATATTCTCCACTTCGGATTTAGCCATCCCCCAAAGAGACCTATGTTGCAGAAGAATGGAGTTTACTCTCTGCAGAGAACACTGGCCACTCAACCATTCAACTGGCAAACACCTGTATGCTTTCTTTTTTATTTCCCAACTCCCCCACCCCCACCCCCTTTTTTTTTTTTTTTTTTTACTGTGGCTTTATTCTTTAGTGTCTAGGACTTCTGGATGTTACAGTTGTCAAGATAACCTTGACAACAGAGCAATGGCAGAACTGATACAGTAACATGTGCTTGAGATGCAGTGTGAAAAGTCAGCTCAGAGGCATTAGCTGCCCTATTCAGGTATAAATGCTAACCCTGTTGACATTGTAAGAGCTGCTCACTAAAGCATGCAAGACAGAAGAACAATCCTACTGTGAGTATCTGGGCAATCAGTTGAGGGTGACAACTCATTTTGCAACACTGACTGGGCCTGGGAGAAAACGCATTACCCAAGCTGAGAAGTGGCCACATCCACAAATTCCAGAAGAACCCAAGGCAGAAGCTCAGTTCTCCTCCAGATGTAGTTAAACTGAAGCAGCTCAGTGTGCAACTGAGCTATGCCAAACAGTAATCAGAACCAGGTTTGTTCAGAAATTCAGTGAGGAGAAACCAAGTACAAGGATTCCCAAAGAACTTGTCCATGTATATACTGAAAACTTCTGTTAGCAGCATTCTTACCAATGAAGCTTGGAAAAAACACCAGCATGTCTTCCTGCTCCATTATAACCTCTGCTGCTAAGAGAAAGAGACACAAAAGCAACAGGATGTGGCTAGAACAATGTTTCTTCTTTCTCAGACCTGTATGTCTCTCCAAGACAAGGAGGTTAGCTTTGTCTGACCTCAACATCTGCTCTTGTGAAAATGCTAAATTGGAACAATCAAGGTAGAACAGGGAGACATTGTCAATCACTCTGAAATAGCATATATAAAATGCATTATTCTGGTCTTACTTTGGGGTTTCAGTCAACATATTTTGAACACAATGTAGGTTCTCACTAACTATCCTGGAAGATAAAATTTGAGATCCTAGAAAAGTATTTCTGAATAATGAAGGGCCTTCCCTGTGGGGCCCCCTCCCCCATGATTATTTTTCAAATAATTTATTTGAAGCAAATAAAACTTTAACATTCCTCCTGCAGATTTGTTCTAAGCCCCCTTTTGCTAGCTGTTCATCCATCTGACCCATCACTACAGACCAAACAGTAGCCCATTTCAAACTGATCTTATAAATCCGCTACACTAAACACTAAAAATGTGTCATGGTTTCTTAATATTAGCTATATTGGGCTGTCTGCACATTATTAGCATTCAGATATCATATAGACTATATTAGGATCTGATATGTTAGGGAAACAATCTGCAAATACATAGATACATAGAAACAATCTGGATTATGTGTAGGTCCACTTCAAAAGCACCCGAGATTATTTTTTAAAAAAATATCAAAACTACTTTCAAAAAACAGAACTTCACTTTTAAAAGCAATAGTGATCAAAATGAAATCACCACCTTTTGGTCTGTGGACAATCAGCTCTCCTACAGGTTGGAAACTGCCAAGAAAAATGCCCTGCCTTGTCATTTATTGTTTATTTCGGAGACATACATAGTAAACGCAAATACAATCTTAAACTGAATTGCTGGTTTTATTTTTCCATCAGGAATTTGCATGTTAAAGAGCCAAATACAAGTGTTTGCCTCTGTCCTCCCATCATTCTAGCCTCAACTGCCTACCTAGAACAATTCTTACCAAAACTTACTCTTTCTTCCCATTCCATCTCTACAAGTGAGGTAGCTCAGGGTAAAATGAAAACAACCAGAAAGTAAGTAAATACACATTCCTCAGATTCTTCTTTAGGACTCAACTTATCTGCAATGCCAAGAGACTACCAGGCAGCTGGTGTCCCTCTGTCCTCTGACTGCTTATTACATTAAGAAGGATAATTTTACTTCTTATTCGCTATTTCCTGCCAACCCCTGCTTTCACTTCTCCCAGCTGTGTCTTATGCTTCTAGTTTGGAAACATTTTAGGTCAAAGCACACCTAAAACATGTACTTATTTCTGTCTTAGGCCCCCAAATACCACTGTAACAATAATTGATAACCAATAAAGATGGGATAGGGGCAGAATTCTAATCAATAGATAAGGAGAACCAGTGGTAGCACACTTCTTTCCACAGGTGTGTACACACATCAGGAAATGGAAGGACATGAAATGTTTACTGTGCTGGTATATTTGACCCGGTGTGTGATGAACACGACAGTGCTGAAAGCTACAACCAGGAGTTCCCTCCAAAAAACAATGTCAGGCCCTAGCAAGGAGGCATGCGAGATAGAAGGCACCTAGGAATACAGGATGCACCTAACACACATGTATGTATTTCACAGGTTTAAGAAAAAACAGAACAAAACAAAACCTAAACAGTCCAAGAAGCTATTCTCAGTTGGAAAATTATGTTCCTGGTCATTTACTACCAAAATAAAAAAGATTCTTCACTCATGTACAGAAGGAAATAAAATGTGTTTCTTTCATACAAACATTGATGAAATGCTGAAGACTCTCCAGTTGCAAGAAAAGGGAGATCCTTGTTAGAGAGGAACAATAGTAATTCTGGTAGCTGCATCAGACCCACCACCCAGTCACCAGTGGCAAATTACCTTTTAATCAAGCACACACACCTCTTAGCCTGGAAAAGACTATTTTTAGCATGCAAAAATAAAGCTGATGTAGGTCATTTCAGAAGCTGTAATCATCTTCAACCAATGGCAAAGCTGCTTAAAAAATATGAGCATGAGAAAAAACAAAAGCAAATGTACATTTTAACTGCAGCACGTGACTTTATACTAGCACATTCAATAGAGGGAGCAGCGGAATAAGCCATAAATGCATTTCCATACTGCCTTGAGAAACTGGAATTAGGGATGAGGAAACAATAAACATAAGTTCTTCTTAAGACTCCTTTGTTTGTTAACGACAAAAAAAGGAAAAATGTAAACCACAAACTGGATTGGAAATAGAGAAAAAAAGGAGATAAAGATTTGGTTAAAGATCATTTCTGTCCAGCTAGCTACAGTATCCCCGGCTGTGCAAACCACCATATTCTAAGCTTACACTAAGAAACTTAACAGAAAAATAAAGGAATGCATTCTTGCCTGAAGATATCTTAATTATATGTTCAACCAAAGGTTTATTAAGTCTAAAAGTTATCCTCTGTCACAGCATAAGTATGTTTTGGTTCTCTTTGCACATGCTGTATTTATTGCTTGTTTGCTAATACATTTTAACACATGCCTACCCCTTACTGTTAATGTCCAGTTTTACCTAAATGTAGCCTTGAGTGAGTTATAAATATGGAAGCTAAGAAACTGTTCTGCAGCAACAGGATAAGGATCAGAAATGTTCCTCTCCAAATACAGGTGTCCTTATTTTGTACTGAAAAAAGTGAAGCCAAAAGGAGGACCTGTATCACTGTGCAAGGTATAAGCCTCCTTATTTCCCAGAGTTGGTAAGAGTTCTTGAGAATACTTCCAAAACACATAGAAAAGGTTAGAAAGCAACTAGCACATCTCCCAAGAAGAAAGGTTTCAAAAACCCCAAAGAAACAAACCCATTAATATTAGCTTAAAATTATTGACAAAAGTAACAGGTTATAACTGATTTTTGGGATACAGTATTAGGTTTGGTTCCATACATCTAATGGGACTCCAGCTCCCATATTCATCCCACAGAGATGAATTAAGTTTGAAATAAAAGTTAAGCTCCAGATAGAAAGGTGACTCAAGATGGGAGGTTTCCTGTCATTTTCTACTTAACAGAACACTCCAGATGGCAAAGACCTTTCTTTATTTGACCATTACTGCCTCACCTTCGACAGAATGAGAGGTATCCGGTTTCATGACAAATCGAAGTAACATCTCTATGCAGTATTGTCCATAAAGTCTTAAGACAACAGCATGCTATGAAGAGGAAGGCAACTACTCCCATTCCTAGAGGTACAGAAAAATACTTCATCACAAAAGCTTGCCAAACCAGAACACGTATGTCCGCATCAGTAATGAAAAATTCACTTTGAAAATACTGATTTTGTTAGAAAAACATTACAAAAAGAGTATTTTCACTGAGGTTCCCTGCCCCATACTGAATATCAACCCCTTGCAACAATAATTTGAAGGAAACAAAATACCTATAAAAAGTTACATTTGCACCTCTGGAAAGGATTGAAATGAGGTAAGACCTACTTGCTGGCAAAAGAGAGCACTGTGCAGTCCATAGGAAGCAACAATATTAGAAAAAAAGAATCACTAACTATTACCACTTTAGTTTTGACACAAAAGCTTTCTTCTCTCTACCTGTCCCACATAATTTCTGTGAAACCAATAGAAATGTATCAAGAAATTTACCATTTTTTTCACTGGTTGCTCTGTCTGTGCTTTCCCCCCAGTTTTACAGGAAAAAAGAAACAGGTTAACACACTTTGAAGGGCTGGCAAACTTTCTTCTATTTCCAAAATTAGCACGAGTTACATTAGTGATACATAATGCCAGCTAACTATTTTAAAAAACCCCACAACATATACATGTTTCCTGACCAGCAAAATTTCTCTCTGCAACAATCTTACTACTATTACTATCAGTTAAAAAATTTGTCACTTCCTCTTTGTGAGCCCTGCAATTATGCTAACATATTTCACCCAATTCTTTTCTCATCACTTTTTCAGACTGCTCGGTGATTTTGTGCTCTCATGTTATCTTCTTCTCATTTTCTCAGGGGAAAAAAAAAAAAAAGTGCAACTTATTTGGATATTTAGGAAGTGATACATTTATTAGAATTTTTTTATAGCAAGATTTTCACCATCTTCTTCAAGAACACTGCTAGAAAGGTATGTTAATCAACAATATTCTGAAACTTTTGTCTCCCTGACAAATAGGAATAGTAGTAACAAGTAGAAAGATTTGTGAGCTGATGGTCTTATATCTTCTCAGTATCTAGTGGACTACAGTGAAACAATCCTTTGCGGATTTGGAGCACCTCAGCTTCCACAGCTGAGAAGGAAAAATCCCAGCAGATTAAGTACAGAGAGAAATCAAGCCAGATGGGATAGACCCATACAGGGAGAGGTTGAGCTAGCTTAAACACGCACGTGGCCTCTGGGCCTCAAGACACCAGCTGCAATAGCTTTTGGGGTGCATAAGATGAAACACACAACAATTCTTTGCCTTGAGGCTCCCTCTGCCCATCAGAGAATACCCCACCACTCGCTAAAGGCAGTAGCTTTGTTTCTACAACAGACACCTCTTGCCCAATACCTCAGGTTAGACACAGGGCTCCCAACTGGAAGACAGTTATGGGTTGATGCACAAATACTATCTTATTTTATTATTTCATATGCTAGAGTCAGTGAAGATAACTGCATCCAAGGAGTGTTCAAAAAAGAAACAAACACCAAACATTATGCTTCTACCTAGTCTTTCTGGCAGCTTTATAATAGAGAACATCTAGGTTGGAAACCCTAATCCGGATCCTTGACTCCTTGTCATCTATCCTACCCAGTTCCTTTGATATAGCAATGTCCATTTTGCTCTTTGGAGCAAAATACTTCTAACAGGTCAGCTACATACCAGTTCCACCAAGGGAAAGAGGGGGAAGGGTTTCTGATACTCCATCCTCAACTTTTCTAAGCAAGAGTGGTGGCAGAACAACTTGGTTTTACAGCTGTCTTGCCTGCTGGGCGCTTGACAGAAACCTTATGGTTCACTTGGTGAAAGCAATTGGCCAAGTATCAGAAAGTTCAGTGGGCTGAGTTAAACCAATGTGACCTAGAAAGGTAACCTCCCATTCCATGCAAGTAAGTGGACTTTAAAGATTTCTGTTCGAATGGAACTATTCCCGGTGATGTCTGTGTAGAGCAGATGATGCTTCCTATGACATCTATAATGATATTTATTGGCATTACATTTCAGAACAGTTGATCCAGTTCTGCTTCAGACTTTTTAAAATGGTAAGGAGACTATGAAAAATAGATAGTTTTAATCTCCTGCTTTTTAGTCCCTCTGACTGGGCTCTCCTTGAGTTTGTTTCAATAGCACAACTGAAATTAACCACTTGTTTGGGTGGGTTCTGCCTTTTTTTTCAGTCCCTGGATCACAAACAGTTTTCAGAAATGGGAAGCAAAAGCATGTATGTTTTAAAAAAAATCAATAATGCTAAAGGTCTGCATTAACAGAAGTGTCAGAAACATAAGTTTTCTTTTTTAAAGTATCTCAGCACCACCATCAGAATACCTTGCCTACACAGTCAACAGTCTATCCAGCTTCAGCAGCTAGTGTAGCACCATTAAGGATAGCTATGGAGTATTCAAAGTAATTCTGCCATTAAACGCCTTTCATGGAATGTGATAAACAAGAAATGTGTGACCTTTCTACACAAAAACATAATGTAATTGCTTGGAAAAAAGGGTGCACTTGACTAATGGCAACATGCTGGTTTTAGCCCTCAAACAGAATTAGAAAAAACCTTAAGTACAGTACTTCCCCCCACGTGCTGGTTTTTAACATCAGGTTATAAACATCCAAACACACAGGTTCTGTGTGCTGACAGCTGTGAGAAAGTATTCGGCTACACTGCCTTCTCAACAGGACTGGACTGCCCTAAGAGGTTGAGCACTGCATTGGCAGTACTGTCAAATCAGTTATTTGTAACCAAATGGTCAGTAGATCAGCAAAATGAGCACAGATCTGTACAAAAAGAGTGAACAGAGATGCTGTACCCTGCAAAAAAGCAGACTACGCTATTACACTCATATAAAGGCCACATCCCTTAGTTATAATGCCAAAACTGGGGAAGAGAAGCTCTTATTAAAGCCAATAAAATATACCTGCAGAAGCGCAAAGTCTCTGCACAGCAAACCGTGAGCATAGGCACACCCTATTTGTGTGACTTCCTCCTTCAAGACAGGGGTCTGTTCTCGCTCCAGAGTTAGGAGTTTTTACATATTTGAACAAGAATGAAGTTTTACATGTCTACAGTGCCTTTTACTCAAAGATCTCAAAGAACGTTACACCTATTAGATATGTCCCAACCCCTCCCCCTGTGAGGTAGGTATTATTCCTGTTATTTACAGATGGGGAAATTCAGGCACAGAGGTTACATTATTCACCCAAGGTCACACAGTGAGTCAGTGACAAAATAAAACAGAATCTGTAAGTTCTGATTCCTGTTTGCACAATCCAACTACTAACAAGCCTCAGTTTCAAAATAGCCTTAAGCAACTATCAGTGTGCATGAGAACAGTCTTGGGTTTTAAGGGCCACTCCTAAAAAGTGTAAGAAAGGAGGAAAAACAGGAAGTGGGGGGGGAAGAGTGAGGAAACACATAACTTCTGCAAGCCAACACAGCTTTAAAGAAAGAATTCCTGCTAATTCCCTTCCCAAAGCTGAGGCAGCTTGACTATGAGCCTGGGATACAGTGGGTGGGAAAAGGAGGCTGATGGAACCAAAGCTTGAAACAAAAAAAAACAAGCTAGAGTAAACAGCCATAAGCCTTCATCTGTTTGAAAGAACAGGGTCATAGAAAAATAGGGCTGAGAGGGACCTCAAGAGATCACTGAAGTCCATCCAACCTGCCTTGAAGCCAGGATCAACTACACCTACTCATTCCCAAAAGTCCAGTTAGTCTGTTCTCAAAGACCTCCATCAGTGGAGATGCCATGCCCTTCCTCTGCAATCTGTTCCACCTTGCACTATCACATGAGCAAAAGAGGACAAGCGAGTCTAAGATAGCTACTTCTGCTCCTTCAGTGGGGGGTACCATGATTCCCAGGCCTATCTAATGATCTGAATACATTTCACAGAAGATAGTCTCCAGATATTTACTTGTTTCTGTCCTGGATTCCTTGGGAAAACATCAAACACTGGTGTCTGCTGTAGTATAATATCTGAGCTGTGAAAATACTGATTAATACCAGGATAGATACCAGTCTATTTACTGCAAGTGCCAAATCCTACAAGGTCAGTAACAAAGACTTTGATATGATAATTTTAGCTCATTGCAGATTCAAACTGCAATTTGAGGGCAGGGAAGACTACAGAAAACCCCACAGCAAAAGTCAGCAGCTCAGTTGCCAAGTTTCATCAAGCTGCAGACAAAAATCAGGCAGTCGAACACCACATCTTCAGCAGAGGCAGCACCTCTGTAGCATCCCTCCATCTCATCTGTCTTCAAAGTGCATTCTCAGTGCAAAAAGTAGGATTGAATTTAGAGGGGCTCACTATCCCCAGTGGATTTCATACTAAGACCAGAATTCTTGCTTGAGTTCATATGCTGCAGCTTTATGTGTGTTAAGTTCACTTCTGCATAGCGGAATGGTGCTGTCCTGACTCTGCCCCTCAGCATCTATGTCCAACAGTGTCCGCTCCTCTACGGGAACACCCACCTGGAAAGGAAGCAGTGCAGGCAGTCCAGGTCTCTCTTCTACAGTGCTGCTGCTACTAGCAAAACAAGAGTCCAGATTGCTTGGAGTATCAGTACTTGAACTGTTGGCAGAAGATTCACCCTTGGCATTGCTGGGCGACACAAACCACCAGGGATCAAGCCGCTGCCGACTGGCTGCAGGACGTGGCCGGGGCAGGAACTCCAATGTCTTGGGTCTTTCCAGTGTGGGGTCCTGCTGTGCATTCCATCGTCTTGGGGTTGGAGGAAAAACAAGGTTGGGGTCTGGCAGGCGAGGGACCTCATTGGGATCTCTACTTGGACTAGGTGTTTTTAATACACCTATCCAAAACAGAGGATGTAAGAGAAGAGGGAAACATGTTAGATGTCACTGCTAAATGGTTCCAACAGATCTTAGTTTATTTTATGTACACTGTGAAAATATTTTCAAAGCAGAAAGCCTCCACTCAGAATCTACAAACTCTGTATCTTCAAGATTACACCAATCTGAAGTGAATAACTGGCTTCTTTATCCCTACACTGTTCTCAACACATTGCAAGACAGCTGTTTCACTGACCAAGCACAAGCAGCAAGTTTTGCTCATTCTCTCATTTGCTTTCTTCAATTTTCGGACTGGAGAGCATGGATTTGAGCTCCTACCAGAGGTAAGGACTCTCCAAGTCCTTTGAAGAGCACATTACCCCTTAACAGCTTGAATGGACTGGGAAGACACTTGCACAGAAGGATGCGAGACACCTGTTTGCAGCGAGCAGGGCCGACTCCTGGAAGAGCCATTTAACACCACCTACTGCGGATGCTTCCTGGTTTGTTTTCATTAGGGATGGAGGACCGTGTTTGCTGTTTGGTTGATTTTTTTTTTTTGGTTGGTTGGTTGGTTTTTATAAACACAACATAACTTTTAAATTTTCATGAATGTCATTTTAATGAGTGTTCTCAGCTGCATTAACCCACATTTTACCGCAGACTGCCATTCAACAGACAACCTCGCATTTTGTTTTACCACTAGGAAAAGCCTAATTAAATTAGATTTTGATTTATTATTCTAGTCCTTTTTTTTCCCCCTCTGAATTACTAGGGCAAGAAAGCAGAAAAGCATTTTTCAAGTTATCAAGTCACAGCCACTCCTAAAGACTGCAACACTACACATCCAGAAGATCCCTCTTGCTTGCAAAGGAATAAAAGCAACAGTGCCACAGCCCCAAACTGCTTTAGAGATCCAGTTTTCACTGCCTTAAGGATCATAATTTACTTTGAAATGTAGCAGCTATACAAACAAGGGTATAAAAGCAATGGAAAGGAGACGGCATCCCAAGGAACTGCTAAAATATGTGCAACATTTGTATTCTAGTACCATCTTCATCTAAGAAATAATACTGCGCTCTGCCTCACAGCACAAGGGAGCAGAGAGAGTTCCTTAGCTCAGAGATGCTGGAACAGAGACCATTACTGCATTATTCTGTTAATTATTTGTATAAAGATAGCATCCATAAGCTCTTCTTGTGGGCTGGCCATCACAATGGACGCTGTATAAGCAACATCTGTACTTCCTAATGAGTAATTACATTGTTTGGCTCTTTATTCTGAAGAGGAAAAGGAAGATGGCTGAAAACCTACCTGCTCCCAGTGCTCCAGTTAAACAGCTACTGGAAGGGCATCCACTGGTTGGGCACCCATTGACAACTAGTCCGCTCCCTTTGATGGCCCCATCAGATGGTGTGCGCCTGTGCCCACTTTGCTGGGTGTGGGAAGAGACCGTCACGTGTGTGGGAGTCAGGGACTGGTTGGGGTCTTGTTTGAACCTCTCAATCTGGACATTGACTAGTGGGTTGGTAATGGCTGGCAAGGGAGCCTTGACTGTCACTGGGCTGACAGGCATTTCATACACCACAATCTCGTCACTGTCTGAGCGCAGCAGAGACCGGGTGGAATTACATTCGGAAATGGAAGACAGGGAAAGAAGGGTGAGGGATGTGGATGGCTCGCCTAGCAACAACATAGGATCATCTTTCTTGAAGATCTTTCTGGAAGGTGGACTAGTGCTCCTGCGTGGGCGTCCAGCTCGCTGGAAAATGCTGTCGCGCTTCTTTTTCTCTTCCTTGGGTGCCTCTGGCTCCTCCTCAATCAGCAGTTGACACTTCCCTGCTTCTAACAGATCAAAGCCCAGGCCTGCAGCAGCCAGCACTGCTCCACAGCCAAGCAATGCAATCTCACACCGCTTGTGGTGGGAGCCGCTACGTTTGAGGCTGTTGGTGGGTGTCAGCTGCGGCGTACTCGTAGCAGAGTTCACAGGGGTGGACTCCTCGTTGGCATCACTAGAAGGGCCATCCCAGTCTTCATTCTTCTGAAATGGGATGCAGAGGTATGACTGATTGTGCCCAGGTGAAGGGTGCACTTTGCCCTCTCCGTTAAGACATTCACTGTCTTCATCATCTGGAAAGCAAATTAAAACAGACTTTGCATGGATCTAACATTTCCACTGGCAAATTTCACTGTCTTAGAAATATACATAAAACCAGCTTCTCCTCAGAAGATGCAACTGTCCATATCGCAAGCATCGTTCACCAACTGCCAAATACTCACAGGCTATTGTCTCCAAAGCAGATAGGCTGAGACAAGTAACTGGAAACACTATCGAAGTGGAAGAAATTAGCGACACATTAGTCTAGTTGGGATCAATTGCAAAACAGCATTTCAGAAGCAATCTATACCTCAGACACTTCTAGAGTAAATTTATATATTTGAGAATGAGGAGCAAAAGGTAGGAAAATTACAAGGATCTCCTTGCAAGGGAAGGTGTAACCATGCTGCACATCAAAATATCATTAGCAGGAAAAGAGCCAAGAGGTAGCAAGGGGCTAAAGGGGAATTAAGAGAAGCTTGTTAGCTTGACAAGTAAGAAGCACAAGCATAGAGGTGAACAAAAAGGAAATCCAGACGGAGAGAGTAGGATTTTTTTGCCACAAAGAATAAAAGAAAAATGGATACCACAAAAATGAAAACATTGCTGTAAGGCACTAGGTGAAGGTCCGGAAAGGAGAGGTTCATTCAAATGTGAATGGAAGAGGAGAAGAGAATATAAAGTCCAGGGAATTCCTTTACCCATCTCTGCTAAGCTGGTGAATCCCGGAAAAGCAGGTGCAGTTCTCTGGATCTTTCCAAGGTTCGGTGCACTGGATGACCACTGTTTGTATCCTTCTACCAGAGCTTTCAGACTGAAACAGTAGAAAGATGGGACAAAATGTACCATGCTCACAAACAATTTTAATTCCCCACTTCTATATTCTCTATTGCTCTACCCAGGGTATGCATGTATCTCTCTTAGTTACATAGATTTGAAGCCTTCCCATAGCAAGACATTTTGCAACATCCTTACAGCACCTTAAATACAAAAGAAATCAAAAAGTCCCACCCTCATTTGTTACACCATGGCAAGCAAGAGACCTCTGCTGCTAACCGACAGCTGTGCATCCAGAATAACAGAGTGCGCCACTATAAAAATTAGGTGAAACATTTTCATTTTAAACTAAGGCAAATCCACCATGCCAGGTAAAAAAAATAAAGTGCTCAGCAGGAGGAAAGGAAAAGTATCTCAAAAAATATTTCCATGTGAAATACAGACAAACAATGAAAGGCAAAGATCATTCACTGGAACAATAATATGCTAAAGTAATTGCAACAATAAAGTCATGCCTCTGTATTATAAACCCCAATATTTGTCCTCTAAAAAACACACTGCATTTAGGTACAGACAGTTAAAAACATAAGTTCTAGATTATGGAACAATAGGTAACTAAAATAATAAATCATGTAATTGTTTCTCTTACTGACAGACAAAAAAACCACCAAATCCCACAAAAACAAACAAGTGAAAAACCCCAAACCAAATCCCTACTTTCATGTCACCTGCATTTAAAGGTATGTCACTAGGCACCTGAGCTTATCAGTAGTCCCTGTTCACAGGTATTCATTACCACCATTCTATTTGTTCCCTGCAGCACTTCCATGACATCCGAAAGCTTTAGTAAGCAGCACAGCTTTCTGACATACCAATACTCAGCAAAGTTTTATTGTTCATTTATCAGTATAGTCTGAACTGCGAGATTTCTGGTGTCTTTCTCCAAACTCCAACATGAAACACACCCTAGTGCTGGTGAAAAGCTAACATACTCTTAAGATAGACAGAAATTGAATGAAAGAAGTTAAAAGATCTGTGGATGCTCTGAATGATCTCATCTGGACACAGAACAGCATCGACTTGTTATTCAAAGAACAGAAAACTTCGGAGACGAGACCTTCTCCAACTAACTTGCATTGTTCTTTGATATGACACATAATTCATTACAATTGTTCCCTTACAGAGAAATGATATAAGCATATAGAAATCATCTCTCGATTCTTATTTTCCACCAAAATCACTCTGCATTTCTAAGATGGCTTCCACTGCAGGATTTCAGTTTTATTATATCGGGGTTTTTTGCCTTGTTATGTATTTTTCCTCTACTCTCAACATAACTGAGATGCCCTACTTGTCACCAAACTATATTGCTATAGCAAGGTTACAAGATCTAAACTTGATTCAGCACACGTTCAGTTGGTTGATGACTGTGCTCTAGGCATTACACAAAGTATCCTGTGGGGTTCTCAACTGTCTTGAAGTCAATCATTTTCCCCCCATTAACGATCCTGGCACATGCAGTACCCTGCTATGAACTTGAATCCAGATACCACGGTGCAGAATCCTACTTGTCAAGACAGGCAACCACATGGTTTTACAACACGGATGCAATTCAATGTGTGGATTTGTTCTGATTTACTCCCTCCATGCTATACTCAGCTACATAACACAACCCACCAAATAATCTATGTTATATCTAAATTATCCACATGTACAACATGCGCAGTTAGGATAAATACTATAAATAGAGCAGTATGTTAAGGGAAAGCTGGTCAGTAAAAACAAACCATGTTAGCAGTGTGATCACCTCCAAAAGTAAATATGAAAGCTCTTACAATATGGGTAGACAACTATTGAGGAAGAGATTTCCATGGAGCTGGGAAAACACACACTCTGTTCTCTATATGTAGAGATAGCAACGTCTTAAGTGATAGGCAGCAGTAATCTTCAGTTTAGCCTTCACTTTACACAATTGCCTAAAGGGTCTTGGGAATTGCCTGTTATTGTACAGCAGGACACACCAACTTAGTTTGCTTCTTTATGACTTCCCAGAGCAAGCTTCCCTTGCAAAAAACAGATTTGCTGTTACTGACAAAGCACAGCTCAATCTGAACAGAAAGATAAATAGCTACCAGAATAATTTCAAGGCCTGCTACATTTGCCTCAAGGTTATAAAATCGTCATCCTTCCCTTTTATTTTTCGTTCCTGTCTCTCTCCCCCCCAAATTATAAGCAGAACCCGAAGACCTGTGCAAAGGATAGCTGCACATCCTCTTAACTAGAGTAATGTGCATTTGAAGACAAATCAAGACATGCTGATTTAGAGTACATTCCTACTACAGCAGTATTATCTGTTACTACTACACAGAAAGAGCAACTGGAATGATTTGAAAGGACTAGCAGCAAGCTATTTCAGTCATCATCATGACAATTCAGGAACCTAAAGACTTTTTACCTGTAATCTATTTAGACTACATAACAGGAAGGTTATTACTCCATTATATTATGGTTGAGTTACTTCTCTGTTGCCTTTTTCTATTAGGAAGTTAGAAGCACCTCTCTCTAGGAGTCAGGTAACAAGGCTCATCTGCTCAGCAAATTGTAAAAAACTTCCCTACAACTGTAAGATAGCACCTCTGGTGTCTTAATACCATTCTGTAAACACCATGTTAAGGCATTAATACAATACTGTCATGAACAAGAAGTGTCTGTCCCCAGGCTCACCCCTATTTAGCTTGCAAGGAGGACTATGACTACCCTACATCCAGTGTCACTTTCCATAAAATCAGTAACACCACCAGTGCGAAAACTTAAAACAGGGTAAAGTCCACCCATGCCATAGTAACAGTCTGAGACTAATCAACGATAATGACAAATAAGACTTCACCACATATCCTTGAAAACATACCATAAGATGACAACTAAACTGTCACACCACTAGTCCCTACATAAAGCTTCATCTAGTCTCCGAAATTCAGCACAGCAACCTTCTGCTGCTGTGCATATTCCTCATGTTCAAATATAAATGCAGAAGGGTGAATAATCACTGTATAATCTTTTCATGACTTCCTTTACTTGACATTAATTATAGGTCAGTTTAGTTACACTAGAGAATTTCACTGCAATTCCCACAATGTAATCCTTGCATAAACTTGGAATTACCTCCCGTGGAGAACACGTGGAAAGTGGTAGAAGATTCATGTTCCCCTGATCAGAGTTGCATAAGCAGCTGGAATAGCAGCACTGCTGCTACGAGAATAGTGTCATGGAGAAGACGTGAACTGGTCTTTTCTATGACAAATTCAGCTCTTCATTTTATCCCAATTTTTATCCCACTACCCTCTAAAATTATAATTTAAAAATATTAAAAATAGCAAGCACTATCTTTTAAGTCACTAACATTTATTGCAACTCTGCTCCCTTTAAATTCAAGTCTGCAGTCTGGCATGATCTCGGCAAGAAGCAGTAGTTCACTGTATGTTAACCATACTGCCTACCCTCTCAGCAACACTATCATGTTTTAGATGCTCTGCAAAATGCCGTAGTGGCATAGAGTCTCCCCAGAAAAGGCGACGAATACTATAGCACATGTAATTTGTAGAGAGAACAGGATAGTTTTGAGAGCAGCCATGGTTAGCAAGCAACTCCTTTCCAGCTGTCTGTGCCCAAAAGAAATTTGGTACTTCAGACCGTACAGTAATGAACAGAAAAATGAAGAGCTTTATTCCCCAAATTCTAAGCCTATGATTTCAAGGTGGACGTGTTTTTCTACCAGTTTCATTTATCTTCTGACCTTGTATATGATTAATGATTGTAAAGTGTGACATCTGTTTTAATTCTGTACAATGCTATACTTCATATATAGAATAGTTGAAGCATATGCAGCAGCTGAAGAAGCTTCCTCCGCATTGCCCTGTTAACATATCAAGAGTACCTTTGAGGGAGAACATATATTAACATCATTAGAACACTTAAATCCAGACCCTCTTGCAGAGGACTGAAATACTGATGCATTATGTCAACGTCTATTTTCCAGGAATTTCACACCTGAGCAGAGAATACTAAAGACCGGTTGTTTTCCCTCCTAAAAAAAAGATGGTGAATCAAACTATGAATTTAGCAGGGGAAAAAGCTTCAAACTCCCCTAAAAATCACAAGGCATTCAAACCTCTTAGAAGATCAAAATACTCCTATGTTTAAAGCAGCATTTTGGCAATGATCCATTAGAATCCTAGTATAAATAATTCACACACACCCCCCCCAAAAAAAAATACAACACAGAACAAGAATCTCTAGAAATAGAGATACAACCTGTATCTCTGCAAAAATCACTTTCAGGATGTACTCAAGCTACGTGTCCTTTCCAAAAGCCTGAAGATATTTACCTGGCTTTACCAGAGACTTTTTAAATAAAAGCCTTTCAGACAAGAAAAAGCATAGATAAGAATTTTAAAAGTAGTTTTAGATAGGATATAACACTACAGAAAGTTGAGCCTGAAAATAAAGAAAAGCTACTAGAGAAACAGTTTTACAGAGCAAAGAAGTTCTACTACTTACAAATACACATGAGAAGGTACTAACAGACAGTGAAAGCATCAGTCAGTGCTGGACCTCTAGGAAGGGACTGAATGCAATGCAGTTTTGTAGACTGTTCTGATTCTTTAACATCTCTGGTACAGGAAATAAGTTTAGAAGCAGAAGTGTTTGCAAGAGGATAGGCAAATCTCCTGTGAGCCAGCTCATAACCAGCTTGAGAACCTGGAAACCACTCTGGTTCCAGGCCTCCTCTTACCCATCTTCTCCTGCACCTAGCTCCTTGTGACAAAGTGAGCTTGGTCCCCAGGTGCGTCCCTTTTTCTTCTGGCCTCTCTTCTCTTCTTCCTCGCCTTCCTCCTTTGGAAGGACTGAGCTTCGTCCCCATGTTTTGCTGCTTTCAGCAGGAGTCACTTAACAAGTGGTAAGAATAGAGGAAAATGAAAAAAAGAAAAAACAGATACACAAATTAAAGAATTGGTTCCACAGCCGCAGAAAGAATAAAACATAGGCTAGACAGGAATAGTAATCAAACCACCCATGCAGACTTCTTTCCTATAATTCTGACCATTTATCAACAACTGATCTAACCATCAGATCCCTTCAAAATTAGTACAGATAGGCTTTACAGATTTGTTCCATCACTGGTTTCTCTTTTAGATCCACCAGTTTGGTACCAGACACACAAGTGTCATGATATCCAATACAAACACTACACATTAATTAACAGTCCTTTCATACTTCTAATATATGCTTGCCTGACTAATTCTGCTTTATTACAGGAATGCTATTTTCATGACAAGTGCCCTTGTTTTAATTTCCCTCCAACAGTAACCTAATTCATTTCAATCATGTCTCACAGAGCTATTCTGCAAATCGGTATTTTTAAAAGTTAACCTGTACACATAAGAAATGTATTTTTTATACAGTCAAGCACCAGTATTTCAAGTAACTTGGTTAAGTAAGGCTTGGACTCCAAAGAAGGTGATACTGTCCCCCATCACCAACACACTCCAATTTTCTCTCTACATGCATATATCCAGGGCACAAGGCAAACATTTTAGGAACTTTTTTTTTCTTTTTCTTTTTCTTTTTTTTTTTTTTTTCCAAGTCCTGCCCTAGATATGGAATCTTTGCATCTTACCACGCTGACAGACTGCACATTTCCCAAATTCAATACTACACTGAGCTCCTTACACTGTATGGCCCTGAGTCTGGGAATAATGGTAGGACTTGCAGGAGGGCTGGCGCAGCTACTGATCAAACTTTTCCTTTTATCCATCGTTGGAGAAGCCTGCACAGTGAATTTATGCTGGAAATCTGTTTACCAAAAGAAAAAAAAAAAATCAAAACAAAAGTAGAAAGACAGAGTTAAAAGTCTGGGGTTTTTTAATATAAGAAAAAAGAAATAATCATTTATGGTAACTTTCAAAGAGCAGAATTTACAGGATCTATGTAGAAATTAAGTTTTACAGGTAATTGCTAATCCCTCTGTCATACAAGCAGTTTCTTCAGCACAAAGACATGCACTCATACTCATGAAGATATATCTTCTTAGTGTATGATAGATACACATACATCCCCCATGTGTTGACTGACATTATGCCAAAGTATATCCCTGTATAAATTCCTTTAACCTTATATCTCAGTTTCTTAAGCTAAGCAAAACCACCAGCAATAGATGCTTACAGACCTAAAGAAAAGGATAGTTAACATGCACATTTTATCATCATTGCTCTTCTGAACAGCCAATCTTTCTCAGAAAACAAAGGCTATAGTGTAAGCTGTCATCCTGGAGGCAATTATGAGCCTTGGGTGACTTACAAAACCCACGCTTTCATTCTTTTACAGATTTGAACCTCCATATGATAAGGAATCCCTATTTCTGAAAATCACTATCTCCACTCTTAAGTGTGACTTCCCTCACACCTCACCAATCTTAACATTTCTTCCAGAAAGGTGGTATTAGAGGTTACTTGTCTAATATGAGTTCACATATAAATTAGCAATTTAGGGCTGTAGTCTCACAGCTATCAATAGATTATTGGTAATTTCTAGATTCCTGCGCCAAGAAATCCAGTAATTATGGTTTCTGTTGCAGCATTATGTAAAATATTCCCAGTGCAAGAATTTCCATAATTTTTTACATACATCCTTTATTAAACTGATCACTTTGAATAATTACATGTTAAACTGCAACACCAACATTTTTACTGTGAACTCTACACAGCCATTGACTATCAAATGTAACATCTCAAACTTACTTCTGGCCTTCATACTTGGAACTTTGGGGACTGCTAGCCACAAGAGAATTAAATTGAGTTCTTTGATCCCAAAGAGGCATGTTTTTCCCAAAATACATCCAATACTTTCTAATGCATAAGTATCAGTAGAAAGGAGCTACCAAATCTACAGGTTCACCTGTTCTTCCCATTCCAGCTGACACAGCCTAACATGTCACCAACCTGAAGGCAGGCTGATATGATTGCCATCTTTTAACTTCAGCCGGTTCCTCTTGAACTTCCCCATGCGTTTCTTCACCCGAGGCTTCTCTTGACACAGCTGGTGGATGATGATGTTGAGCTCCCTTTCCAGGATATCAATCTCACGTTCTGCCAACTCCTGTTCCCGCCTTCGTAGCAACTCCTCATGGTTCTTCTGTTCAACAGCAGCACGAGTCAGCTCTTCTTCCCATGTGCGCAGCTCCTGCAGGGAGTTAAGGAAGGAGTAATGAAAATCTATCGTATGACCTGGGGGTTAAGGCTAACGTGACCTATTCTGAAGGTAGAGCAGCAATGACTTGTGCTCACAGCACTGCTAGTGCCACTGTTTAAAGGCTCAGCTGAAAGCCGAAAACCTAAAACAATCCTCAAGAGCTTCTATGCTTGCCACTCAAGGCCCTTCATATCAGCATTAAAATTTGGACATGAGCACTTGTGAGGGCCACACCTGGAATCCTGTATCCAGTTCTGGGCTCTTCAGTACGAGAAAGACACAGACATACTGGAATGAGTCCAACAAAGGGCCATGAAGATGATTAAAGAGACCGCAACATCTCTCCTATGAGGAAGGGCTGAGAGAGATGGGGCTCTTTATCCTAGAGAAGGATTGGGTGGGCGGAAGGGGAATCTTATCAGGGTGTATAAAAACCTGAAGGAAGGGTGCAAAGAGGATGGAGCCAGGCTCTTTTCAGTGATGCCCAGTGACAGGGCTGGAGGCGATGGGCACACACTGGAACACAGGAGATTCCCTCTGAGCACTTTTGTACTGTGAGCATTACTGAGCACCGGCACAGGGTGCCCAGGGAGGTTGTGGAGTCTCCCACCTTGGAGATACACAAAAGCCGTCCTGACACGGTCCTGGGCAACCAGCTCTGGGTGGCCCTGCTGGAGCAGGGGGCTTGGCCCAGGTGACCTCCAGAGGTCCCTCCAACTTAAACCATTCTGCTTCTATGAAAAAGGACTGAATCCTAAATTCAGTGTCATAAGAAAATATGCTGGATATCTGACATGAACACGTTTACAAGAGCCATTGGAGAGCACCGTGTATATGGGAACCCATTTTGGAAGATTTATTCATAACACTGAAAAGAATCAATCCTTGCTTTTCCATTCAGTAAGTACTTATGTTAACTTCAGTAGTGACTTAAGCAGTTTAAAAATAACCTTGCCATCTAATACATCATAAAATAGCAAAAACCACAGCTCTAACAAAAATGAATGAAGAGAACATCATCAGGAGGTCATTCCCATCATTTTTCACCAAGCATGGCTGCTCCTTAGGCATAAAGATGAATAAGGCAAACTTTTCAATCCTTCCCTTGTTGACAAAATGAATCAACTGAAATTGTCCTTGAGATCTCAAAATGTCTTCTCATTCCTCTCACCACAAGGACAAAAGAATTCAGCACTCAGAATAATTATCTCCAGCTGGGTAATCCCACTGCAGAAGGTGAAAACTGAATAAACCAGGTTAAACTTCAGATGTATTATCATATAGATTTTCGTTTACATTTTAATTTTTTTTTTTTTAATAATATCCTTACCACCTGTCCCATCACACCATGGAGCTTTGGTACATTTTACTCATGAGGCAAATAGAATATAAAACTCTCTTTCCCCGTTGCTACAGAGGAATACAGTACTCAAAACCTGACGGCAGTCTAGCTACTACTGTTTGGTCTTCTGTTTGTCTGTTGAAGCTTCTGGTTTTCAAACACACACAGTTATGACACGAGACAACAGCAGCAGGGAAATGCCTATTAGCTATTTTATTTTTCCCAAAAGTTACTGTAATATTTAAACAGATATGTTCTAAGTATTGTTGTAGGATTTCTCTTCCCCAACGTAAGGTCTCCTTTTCTTTCTCTCTGCCCCCCTAAATTCAATTTCTGAGCCCAAATCAAGTTGGCTGCTTATTAGGAGTTTATTTTTAGGCAAGAGACAGTGAAGTTTGAAAAATATTATTATTTTAGTGATTTCACTGCAGTATTTCATATCAACAACTGTAAAGACAGTCTATATAAGGACCTTAACATAGATGCAGCAAGCTGTGCTTTCTGCAAGTATGCTTGAAGAAAACTTCAGCTTTTTCACTTCTACTATTTGAGGCAGATGGTCATGATTCCTTTTATTCCTGATAGAATTTTTGTCTCCTGCTGTTTACCCAGAAGGACTTCATTTATAACAGTTACTGGACCATTCTCCTGGTAGCATTCGTGTTTATTATAGTCCATCCATTTCAGCTCTGCTCAAAACCTGGAAAACACAAACCTGACAGAACCAAAGCTGTAATGTTTGCTAGAGCACATATGCTGAAACTACCCCTCCTACTTTTACTGTTAACATTTATCATTGGGCTTCTCAATAAAGATGCTAATAGTGAAATAGTCATCAGATGCATTAAACAATGAAGACAACTCATTATAGCAGTTTGCACAGCGTACAATGGAAGATCATTACAATATCAGAAAGAGTAGCAGCTCAGAATGCAGATACTTATTTTACTCTTGATTCTTCCCTTCTGTGCATCATAACCTGATTCAGGACTTACTACAAGATTCAGTAAAGTACATTCAAAATTAACTCTGGGATGCACTAAACAATGATCCCTGTTTGAATTATGAAATGGGAAAATTATAATCCAGAGAGCATAGGCATGGAGTGTTTTTCTCTATTTACCTTTTCTTTGGCTCTGAGCTGATCGAACATCTCTTGGATCTCTTGTTTCCAGTCTTCTTGCAGGGAGTGGAAGGAATCTTTGGGCATTTCAAAGAAACCAGACTCTTCTATGGCGGTGAGATGGTCTAGGATACTGGTAAAGGAAGGTCGTGAGTGCGGGTCAGGGTTCCAACAATCTACAATAGGACAAAGACAAGCAACCGTTAAGCATCTCTTAGTATGGAGGTTTGAGAGGATGAGTAGTACTTCACTGATCCCCAGTGGCTAAGAGTGGCATGCACACTTACACCACCGTTCCCATTTCTCACTTGCTTTTGACTGTTGTCTGATCATAAGTCAAGTATGGAATTAACACTTTCACGCTTATGCAATATCCAACATCACTTAAGATCTTGAACTACCTGGTCTCTAGGTTCTATTGCAATAACACGACAAGTAAAATAGGAGTTTACTTACTTTATAGAAAGTTACATTTTCAAGCATATATTTAAAAATCATAACTAATTTCACTAAATATTTTGCTTTAAGTCGTATGTCCTCACAGCATGGAGATACTATGCAAGTCTCTTGCAAACAGTTCTGTTACCACACTTATACTGCAGAGTTAACAGCCGTACTGCAGAAAGATAGCTATCAGAGTTCTTTTTAATGCCAAACTCCAATACTAAGCTGAGTCATTATGAATCTCTTCCACAGAACTGAAAATGTCTCATGCAAAGCAGACTGGGCATAACTTGAGGGATAGGAGATTCAAGTAAATTATTACATCAAATAGCGCATTTAGAGTTTTCTTATTTTTAAGGGTTCCATTTTATTAATTGAGAGAAAATTGTTTGATCAGGCTTCTTCCTTTTGCTTTTAAGGGAAACCACAGATACACAATTTTTTTCGTTTACAATCTAATGCAATGACTTACGCAACTGCAGCCCTCTAAAAATGCAGAATTTAAGGTACCCATCTTACCAGACGAGGCAACTCAACTAGCAAGAGTACAAAAGGTACTGCTTTTACAGTGATGGGAATTGAACATTGAAAAAGAGAAACAGAAATAGAAAATGGTATGAAGTAACATCTCAAGCTACAAAATCATTAAGAACATGTTTTTAAAAATCCACTGAGTCAAAATGTTTGATTTAACAACATTTCTGAATAGGAAATTCTTACTCATTCAGTCCTCCTTTTCACTTCATCCTTATTTCTACTCCTGCGGAAAACATCGCTTTCTCATTCTATATTGTTTTGTACTGCCACTTATGCAGTTTATTGTCCAACAATCCTCTTTAGAACTGCTAAATTCCCACATGCCAAAATGTGAGAAGACCCAAACAGAAAAACCTAGCATTCAAGTGTATTTCTAGGGAACACAGCTTTTGTGCATGAATGGAAGAAACTAACACACAGATCTTTCTGATTATGCTCATACTATTACTGTTCTAAATGGTCACTGGATTCAAGACACATGTTACTGCAGCACGAGGCAAGAGTTACAAAAACGTTCTAAAGTTTCCTAGTCCTTACAGTTGGAAAAAAGGAAACATTCCTAAAAAATGCTGGTGATGTCCTAAAAGACAATTCATCAGTTTTGTGGATTGAAATACACCAAGGAGGAACTTTAATTAAAAATAAATAACACTTCACAAAAAACCTGTGCAACTGCTGAAGCTTGGTTTTGCAGGTCTTGTCTTTGATTTTAGTGTTGCTGAGATTCTGCATCTGGGAGCTTTGGTTTCAAAGCTGCTGGTATCAACGTGATGGTATTTAAGCATCTGCTCAGGTTCCAGGAAGCATAAACCGGAACACATTTGCGTTCATGGATTTCAAATTGCTTATCAAAATAGAGAACTGAGGATGTTAAAGAGTGCTCTGGAGGTTCCCTGCTGCTGACCAATTAGTAGCAATGGGTGATACAGCTGGACTGTCAGGGCCATAATCCCTGCCTCTTTACCCCAGGTTTTAAGCATGGCAAAGTAAACATGACCCAAAGTAAAACAAAACGCTGCTGCCAGCCAAATGCGTGAATGAATGAACAGGATAACTATGCAGGTGCCCCGTGGCTTTTATTTTCCCAGGCCTAGATCTGCCATTATTTGCACTAATGAGGACAGTTGTAACATACAAATCTTTTCTGTGAAGAGGGAAAGTTCAGCTTTGTTGTCTCAGTGAAGACCACCGGGGCAGTAATTCAAAGGTACAAGCAGCATTAGGGGAATAAGAGTTCATCCGAGATGGAAAACAGCCTGTTTGATGGAAAACAGTTTTGGTGAAGGGGCAGAAAGTAATTGTTTCCTTGCTCCCTTCTTCGCCCTGCACATGGTGAAGCCAAGCATTCCAAAGCCATGTGGGTGCTCACCCCTGTGCTGCTGAGTTCAAGCACAGGCCATATGCCTCTATCTGACTTTCCCAACAGAGGGCATTCTGCTTTAACCCCAGCAGCAGACACATCACTTTATAAAAAAGTCCAGGGTCCTTGCTTTAGGGAATCATGACAAAATAAACCTCCTTGGCACAACTCTGAGCTGGTAGTTCCAGTAACTCTTTCAGATTAAGTTTCTTGCTTTACATTGCTTCCAAGCTACTATACCTGCAATTCTGTTGTTTACTATCCAGTAGAATACACTTTTTTCACACAACAGTAAATGAAATTTTCTACTTTAACTTAACTGAAGCTCATAACCTACAGAAAAGACCAGGGAAATGCAGAAGTATTCTAAAAGCAGGAAAATCCATCACAAATTTTCTTGCATTAATCAAACTCCTTTCTTGGAGCTAAAAACACCCCCAGAGGCCAGAGAGTATCAGTTCTATGTTCAGACTCAATTCTTTGCTCACTAAGACTATAAAACATGTTTGTTTTCTCTTCACCTCAGTTTTTCTTTCTGCTAGGTAGGTATAAAAATGTTTATTACATATAAACACTTGAAAATCCTGGGGAAGAGGGGCACTGAAAAAAGCACAGAAAGTGATACTGTGGGAGGAAGGGAAGGAAGAAGGGAAGAAAGAATAACTGAAGTTCAGAAGATAAATAAACAACTGCAATAACCATTCAGAGCAGGTCACATAGGTACACCCCAAAAGCTACCTCACAGAATCCTTTTTAATAACTACAGCAGCTCTGATGACGAACTCCTGTATTTCTTTCACCTACCTATATATAGCCCACCTTGGGCATGAACACACACAAAGCAGAAAATCACATCATTCTGACTGAAAATTTGAGTTGTTTTCAAATGCTGAAGCCACATTTAAAGCCTCTCCCTGAAATGTTAGTAGGATAAAGTTTCATTCCAAATCAATCTGACGCTGCCTAGCAAGACATTCAAGCTATGAATTTCAAAACAAGTTGAAGACTTCAAGCTAGACCAAAATATGTGAAGTTTTTGGTGTTGGTGAGTCTTCACTCCTAGAAAACAAGCTAGATTGTGACAAAAATAGCCCTCATTTTCCTGTAAGGCCAGTTGATAAAAAATGGCAGAGAAATTTCTTTCGCATACTATTCTTATAATAGAATAACTGTCATAGCAAACTAACAGCCAAGCCTAGCTCCCATAATGACTTGCACCACTGAATAAAGCCATTTGAGAAATCTGTGCTCTTAGGTACCAAAACCAACACAAGGCATCAATGCTCAACAGCACTCTAGAAACAGCACAAACCATACTCACACACCACAGCTGACTTACCTTCCATGAGTTTGGCAAAAGGCTCTGGACACGTGGAAGGGATTGGAAGGGCAAGTTTATTCATGGCAACACCATATGCTACTGCAAGACCATCAATTCCTCGGAATGGTACTTCTCCTGTTAGCAGTTCCCAAAGCAGCACACCGTAACTACCAGGAAGAAAACAGAAAAGAGGATAGTTGTTTAACGCATTCTTTGTTAAGCAAGAAGAAACTACCTGAACCTGTCAGGGTGAGTCTGGTACACTGAAGAAACTGCAGTTTTTTGGACAAGCTCATCATGGCTGCCAAGCTGGTGAAGTGCCATATTTTACCTGCTTCTGTTAATAAAACTGAAATAAGATGCCATTTTCACCTTTTAGGCAAAAATAATTTTCTCTCTGGAATCTGCAAACAATCCAAGAAACATTAACATTAACCTTCAAACTGATTTAGCAAGTTTCAAACCAGAACCCAGTGAAACTCTCAAAAATGCGATGGAGGGTTGTTTGGTGGGTTGTGATATTTAAAAATAAGTGAAAAATACTTTTTCAGAATTAAATTGTTCTTAAAATGTTATATGAAATATTAACTTTGAAGTTATAGTTTCAGGACTGTTCTCCCCCAGGTTTACGACAAAAAACATTTCCTCAGAATATCTGCTCTACTTCTAGGAAACCTGAATAAGAGACAGCTTCTTCATACTTAGTGAGCTAACAGTTTTTTCTTCCGCTGATCTGTTTTTGATGTCTTCTGAACCCATTTACCGTCCACTATGTTCTGTGGTAGCAAACTCCACAAATTTAATGGTGCATTGCCAAAAAATATTTCCATGTGTTTGTTTTGAGCTTGTCACTTGGTAATTTCATTTGCTTCCCTGTAGTTCTTTCAATACAAGGAAGAGTGAACATATATTCCCTACTAGCTCCTTCCATGCCATTCATCATTTTGTAGGCTCCCACTATACCCTGCCTAAATCATCTTTTCAGTCCCCAAAATCCTAAACTAGCTAAACCCTAATCTAGTTACTCTCTTGAACGGAAGCTATTTCATATTTTTCATTAACCTTGTCAGCTTCTGCACCATGTCATTCAAGTTAAACTTTTATGTTGGAATGACCAAAATCACATAGCTTTAAAGATATGGAGAGGCACAGTATTTCCTCTTTTCTTCTTTATTTCTTTCTTATTAAATTTTAATTTGCCACTTGCCTTTCTGACTCCTTACAAAATGAGCTAGATGACCCACAGTAACTCCAATACCTTTTAACTGATTCATAACAATAAAATTTAGAGCCCATCATTGTACATGTGAAATTCTCCCATGGGTACTACTTTGTATTTATTACCATTCCATCTTTTTTATCGTTCAGTATAGTAAAACTTTTCCTCAGCTCTCTGCAGTAGATTAATTTTTCTTATCCTGAATAACTTGGTATCATCAACAAATGTTACCTAACCATTTATTGCTTTTTTCAAGTCACTCCCCACCAAGAAAAGCAATTTATTCCTTTAAAAATTAAGAATTGACTAAGTGATAGGAAACAGACTTGCCCTCTTTTTCCATATCAATTTACTTTTTTTAAATGCTTTTGACATAAGATTTTTTGAAAGCTTTTATAAATCCAAATATGGTATAAACAATCTTACCATTTGTCCACATACTCAGTAACTCCTTCAAGAATTTTCATTTTTTCACAAGGTATTATTTCCTTCTACAAAAGCTGACACTTCCCCAGATATACTCATATGTCCACCAGTTGCTGCTCTTTAGTGCTCATTCTACCACTTAGTAGAACTGAAAATCAGACTTGCTGATCCTTAGGAAGCTCTTTTAAGACCTGCCATCATGTTTGCTGCCTTCCATGTCTTGGGTATTAAGGCAGCTTTAAGCAACAGGTTACATAGCACAGCTATTAACTCAGTTGGCTCTCTCATGCTCCTGTAGAAATTTTGGGTGTCACTGTAAATCCCAGAAATTTGTAACTGTTCACCTTACCAGTCAGTTTTAACACCTCTTCAGTATGAGCTGTCCACCAGCTCGGCTCCCTTAAAGAGAATTTTCAGCCCCTCTCTGCCCCGTTCTAGCACACGCAAGTCACTAAGCTTTTCCTGCAATAGCCTTTTCTTTGCACTCTTACATCTTGGTCACCTCTGGGCCATGTATTCTCCTGCAGGGTTCTCGCCTGTGCTGCATCTGAAAGCAATTTATTTGTTTTTATGCTTTTCAAAAGATTCTCCTCAAAACTCTTTTAATCCTCTTGATTGCTTTACATTCAACTTCCCAGCACTTAAACTCATGCCTAATTTTCCTCATTTGGATACAGGTTCAAATTTTTGAAGGATTTCTTCCAGCAGTTTCTTCAACATCCACTTTTTCATTCACTCCTATGCATTCACTGAGCTGCAACATAGTGTCCTTAAAAGATATCCGTGTTGCGCATTTCCCCTTTTGCTGTTTTTACACTAAATTCCCCAATGTTATCATTAACCTCCTTGAGATTAAACACTACTGTAATGGACTAATTTTTCTTCATTACTCTTGCAAAGATACTGAACCCAAGTATACATATATTTTGACCATGGTCATATCGTACAACTTTGAAGGCCTCCTAAGAACACCTGAAGACCAAATGGAAATCTGCTTCTCCTCCTAAAAGCTCCCAGAATAGCTGCTCCATGAAACAGTAATTTTTAAGGCTAAAAGATTAATCTCTTCTTGTTTCAAAGCAAAAATTGCTCTATCCATCTGGGAGTAATCAAAATTTTCGTTATTACAACCTGTGCTCTTGCAAACTCCCTCTGACCCCACCAAGTCTTTAACATTCATTGTAACTGTTGACACCTTAGTTGGACAGCCTTAATACTACTTTTCCTATTCAGATATGCAATTTCAGTCACTAGAGGTTCCACCACCTTTGCTGCTAACAGAGCTAGCTTACTTTATTAAGCAAAGTATCATATTTTTTCACCTAATGTGTTTTTCCTATGTAATCCAGACTGTTGATATAGTGATAATTATAATTGATTATTTCTTTCCATCAAGGTTCTCAATTTCTTACTGTCTCAAGAGCTACATTTGAAAAAACAAACATGAGTTTAAGGATTTCCCGTTTTCTTTTTGGACTCCTAGGGTTCATAAGACACTCAAATAAAATTAATACTGGACTGAATATATATTTGGCCTGTCTGAATCGGATTGATTGTTCATGTTACTCTTCAGTTTGGATGCGAGTCTTGGTATCAAAAGTTAGAAAAAAAACACCAAGTTGTTATTACTCTACCACTAGTACTGGATAAAGCATGTATTAGGTATTTCTCTTAATGGAATGGTTAGGAAAGCACTACTGATGTGCTCAAAGCATTTCTTCTACAGAATAATTTCTAAAATACAAAGGAACAGACAGATTGGTGTTTCTCCTAACGTGACATTAGAAGTATATATTGCAGGAAAGATGGCTTTGATTCTGACAAAAATGAATGCCACCTCTTCCTCATGTACTTACAGCTCATTGCTGAGAATACTGCTTCCACAGAACTAGGGAAACACTGCTTTGTGGCATCTGAACAACCACCATCCCAAGTGATTAGACAGTAAGAATGATGCTGAACAGAGCGTTGTCCATTAACTCTCAAGATTTATACAAAAAAGGCATCAGAAGAAAGAATCAAGGGCCCCTCCTCATTCTCAACAGGGAGAAAGAAAAACTGTTCAAGCTCATTTATTTTTCCAGCATCCAGTAGTAATTTTTGGACTTTAATTACAAAATGAACCATGTGATACAGACCCTGGGTCTAAGTCAACTGACACTTGTATTAATAATTCATCATCTCCCAGTGATTCAGTAATCCCTTACACCATTTAACATCAGGTTCAATCCCACACACTAGATTTTCAGGGAGGCTGGAGGTCTGCAGGATTTCACATGTGATTTTGACACCACTCTTGTAAGTCTGTGAACTTAGGGGGGGGAAAAAAAAAAAAAACCACAACCAAAAAACACAGTATTTCTTCTCACTGTTACTGGAACTATCAGCCCAACAAGGAGATCCCAGCAACAGAAACTAAAATATTACTTTTGTTAAGGAAAAAAACCTTCATTACATTTTAATGGCTATTCACAGTTAGCTTTTTGGATGTTATCAGACTGGTAGTTCCAGAGATGACATTTCCCACTTATTTCACAGCAGTCAGTTGCACACACTTCTCCCACATGAGCTTCTACCAATAATGCTAGTCAACACTTATCTGCCAGGTACTGAAGTCTTGCCAGTGCTTCATTACACACAGATGACTACAGAAGTCTGCAAGCAGTCATTTGTGTATGGAACTGCTTGCCAACACTTGATTCAAATTAAATATTCTAATGACTGAAGTTCCTACACCCACCACTGAATGCCTGAAACATCCTGATCTGCTAATCTGATGGGTTTAGGTAGTCCTGGTATTCCATTCCTAATCAGGAATTTAATTTTCATTTATTTCACTGGTCTCATTGTAGATACATCTTAAAAGCATCTAAATTGAGGAACACAGGGAACTCAAATAAAGGTTGTATGCTGGCTTTATATTCCATATACCAATCCCAATCTTATTGACAATATGATTGTCTTTTAAGCAGCGAAGTCAAAAATGAAGTGTGCAGCAAACAAGAAATACACTTAAGCAGTTAAAATTATAGGAAAATGTGAATTATATGCCTATTAACATTAGCTTGCTGTACAGAACTGCATAAGCTACAATATCTGTTCTTCAACTTCACCCCTGTAAATCCAAAGCAAATACCCAACTCTCCTCTCAAACACATAAATAGATCAAGAATGGACATATTTAAATAAAACCATAGCTTCTTTGTCCTCTGTGCAATTTAAGCACAAGGTTGATACTGCGTATCTAAAAGTTGTGGATGCAGGACAGCAAAATTCATAGCAACAAATTTTCACTAGCAAGATGTGCTAAGTACTGTTATTACCAACAAGCTTCACAGTGGCCCAGACTCTGGTGATAGACACCAGTGTGTGGGAGCATTCCTCACCCTTCTAAGTTCTTTGTCAACCCTCCTTTAGAGTGGCACAACGAAAAAAAAAAAATTGAATTTTTTTAAATGGACGTTGATAGATGTTTTGAAAGGAACTGCATGAAGCAGTTACTTATGATGAGGTAAAACTGAGTCAGGAAATTTCAGTCCTGGCAGGCATCTTCTTCAGCATCTTCTTTACCTGTTTGTGCAGTGAGAACACAAGCAGAACAAGACTCTTGTTAAAAGGCTGGGCAACAATTCAGCCAGCAGTATTAATCCAATAAATTTTAAAGAGTAAGTGTTGAAATAAAAGGGTTTGTGAGTGTTTGAAACAGAGACAGCCAATTTTGTTGATGCTGCACAGACTAACTGGACAGTTGTCAGGCAAAAAACTCCCTCAACTCCAGGGATTAACCAAGAGGTTGAAGTGGACAAGAGGAGGAGCAAGTCTGACAGGATAAAAAAGTTCATCCTGTTAAGAATTTGAAGTTGCATCCTTGGGTGGGGACAGGATTTATTACCCAGCCATGACTGCTTTTGTAAAATTCAGTGTTTACAATCATTGACACATGAGTATGACCACATTGGCAAATCCTTGTCCCCTGCATACATCACTCAAACACCATGTTCTTTTCAGCTTCTTGTGAACTATCTTAACTATGACTCAAGGTTTTGACCACCAGAGAGAGAAGGCTTATTCAGACAGTATAACAGCTCTCTTAATGGTGACGACCTTCTGTTTAAGGAAGAGCACTGAAAGGAACCAAATCTGCTTTTGAGGAAAGACTGTTAACTATAAAAAGAGAAAGTGTTGAAGGTATCTTAAAAATAGAAATACAGTATTCTGAAAAACTATCAAGTAATTTATTTACAATCCTTAAGTCCTGAAGTGATTCACAGTCCTTAAGTCAATGACCAAACTGGTATTTTTGCACAGGTATTGAGGCACCTGAGCAACCTTCACGAAAATCACCAACTGAGCTATTAAGTTTTATATTTGTTTAAATGAGGTCATACTGGTACAGAACATCTATGGACCTGTTCACAGGATAAAGTTACAATCACAGAGAAATTGCTTCCCCCAGGTTACTCTTAAAGGCCATTCATGGCACTGTTTCAGAGAAGAGCAAATTGAGGTTTGAGCTTGACAACCTGCATACAAGCCATACTGTCATCATGGGCACAGAAAAGGTGCACAGCCTTGAGGTTTTCATTTCTGCCAGACGTCACTCAGAATAAAAGCCTGGGTCTTGCTCATTTCATCTCAGATTAACTACAGAAGCTACCACATTTAATTACAGAGTCAGAATTTTATCCACAGTATTAGTGTGCAAAATACAAGTTCACAGACTTATCACAAAGCAATACATTATCTATTCAGCAAAACTGGATAAGGAAAATTAAAATCCCCACACCAAATCTCTGCCATAAGAGCCAGACAAATCTGCCAGCTGGGATTCCTAACTGATTTCACAACATGCACATGCTTCTGTGGGAATGTTACTGGCCAGCAACAGAATCTTACTGTACTAAAGACAAAGTCAACCTGACATTTCAGTAACTCTTTCCTCACAGGAAAAACAAAATTCCATCTACTTCATCTGTTTTCAGATGTTCGGTACTAACTCTATGTCACACAATATCCAGAAAAGTCACTGTCCTAGAGCTATTTACTGAATTCTGGATTTACCAATTCACTAAACAGTCATATTACAACTCGATTTCTGGAAGTCTATGGGCTGACCCTTACACTCATCCCCACCTAAGTAGCTCCTACTCTCAGAAATCCCAGTGCATGAATGGAAAAGACAATATATACATGCAAATTACTACTTATGGGTTACATATTCAGATGGATCTACATAACAGAATTACTAGTTTATGTGAAAGACTAGAAGGGTAGAAAGAATTCATAACATTATTATGAAAGTGGAAAACATTGTATTCAAGCTGAAACTGCATGGGGAATTCCACTAGGTACAGTGTGCTTGTGTACATATCCATCAGTGACAGATTACCACCAAAACACAAAGTGATCTCACTGTTGGTAAAAAAGTAGCAATTTTAAGTACTTCACAGACTGTTTTATGGCCTTTGACTATGTTAGGCAATAGCCAAATAAGCACAAAAATTTGTTTCAGATAAAGCAGAGGGAATTGGGACTATGAATCCTAGGATAATCTGAATGTAAATTTACAGAACGACAAAAATTTAGAGGCATGCAGGAGCTGGTCCACCACTTCCTACAATAAAAAAAAAAGTTTACCATTAATACAAAGTAGTCTGAGTGCCTGAGAGATGGAAAGCTAGTGGATAAAGTTTCCTTAAGACCTGAATTTTAATGTTTGGTTCACCGTTACTCATTTTTAAACATAAGAGGTTTCCTGGCAGGTCTAGTTACTCTTTAGTATCCCAATCACTCAATGCCAAATCAATACCTCCACACATCGCTGCCTTTGGAGAACATGGAGGAGCGGATGACCTCAGGAGCCATCCAGGCATATGTCCCAGCTGCGCTCATTTTGGTAGTTTTATGCCATTCCCTGGCCAAGCCGAAATCCGTGATCTTCAATATCTTGTTGCTCAGATCTCCATTTTCCACCTTTTCGAGTATCAGTACTGGAGAAAAGGGAGGGGGAGGGAATAAAAGGTATGCAGAGTAAAGCTAGTATTTATGAAAAAAAAATACTCCTGGAGATCTCTCATATTTCAAGGTTCTCTCTGACTTTAGTTATTCAAACACAGCACACTCCATTAAAAGTTATTTCAGGCTGATCCCTTCATCTGACAAGTGAACAGCTGTCTAGTAAATGACTTCAATTTTAACCAAAGTACCAAGCCCTAGAGAACAAACAGATAATAACTTAATTACTTAATATAGTGCCTAGTGTCATTCTCTATAATAATTGTTTGCTAAAAGGAAGTGAACCACTGTAACTTCTAGAAATCCAGATAAGGGGAAAAAATTCCTAATTAATCTTCTCTCAGCAAGCCAGTAATAGCATCTTTTTCCTGAAATGCTTCGAGGATTTTTTTTTTTTTTTTTTTAAATCCAGATACACACAGGCTGGGTATACCCTTCATGTACATGTATTAGGAATGGAAGCTCAATGTATGGAGTTTTGTTTTTTTTTTTAAGTCACAATTAAAAAAAAATTGATGATCAGTAATAACATGTCCAATTCAAGACTTCACATACACCACCATGTTATAGGTTCCTTCCCCCATCATTATGAAACTGTTGGTTTTAGTTAAGCTGCCAAAGTTTTTATCATGTTTCAGTGGCAAAGGAGTCTATACCCAAGAACTTTTAAAAAGTCCTTGAGGCAGAACTCAAGATCATTTTGGTATAAAGGCACATATTATTCTCTACCCATAAAGCTGTACTGCCACACCATTGTGAAATGAGTGTAAACCAAAGGCCAGAAGTATCCATGTTCTGATTTAGCAGCACCTCATTATCCCTTTATCTTAATGTGACCACACAAGTTGCATCAGCAATGTAACATCAAGCAGTGTAATATACAGGCCACTAAATTTCCATAACTAACGTAGCCATAAGCCTGTGAAATGATTTTCAACCACTTTGTAAAGGGCCACAAAGAAAAAAATATCTGTATCACAATTAGTCCAATGACTTCGCAGCAAAAGGCATCAAGTCACTAATACACCATCATTATTCAGCTACTGTTTTTCATGTCATTACAGGTCCTCAGAAAACAAGAGGGGTTTTTTTCCCCCTTTCTACGTATGTATATGAATGAAAAAAAAAAAAACAAACACAAAAAACAAAACTAATAGCAAAACCTATAAAAGGCAAAAAGTACTGCAAAAATTACAATATGTATAAAAAAATCATCCTCCGGACCATTGTTAGCAGTCCATGAAAAGACTCAAGTATCAGCCTCAGGCTAACACAGTTCTTTTGGGAAAACAAGTAAAAAGAGCCTTTACATTTATTCCCATGCCTCCCTCCAATACTCAAAATGGGATTTCCCATGAAATAAAACCCAAAAGTGTTATTTGAACCCTTCTGCACCGTAAGAAATACACATATAAATGTTAAAATACTGCATTTACTTTTATTGAAGTTAAAACCAAACTGTTCCCTGAAGAGAGACAAAAAAAATAATCAGCTACACTTTCTACAAGGCTTCAGAATTCACAAAATACTATTTCATTGAAGATTTTTGTGGGCCAACTCAAGTTGTAAATAAACTAGACTTAAGTTTAAGCTCTTGGTTCTTGCTTCTTTTGCAAAATTTCTTTCTAACATTACTGAATGCTCCATTTTCCTAATTGCAGAGGAAGGATTTTAGGGTCTAGATTTACTATTCTCTTCATTTGGGCAGAAGCATATGTATTTTTAGAGCCACACTTCAGTGTAGAACAGAACCACCACAAGAAACAAAGGTACAGAAGAGGCTTCCTTTGTGTACCCTGGTAAGGCTACCTTTTTTCCTTCTTTCTAGCAGATGAAGAACTGCTAAGAGAAATTGCTAACACGTCACTCATTGACTGCAAGAGTGAAAAGCTTTCTAGAACATATGTACTAAGTTTCTTCTTCTAGCATGTACCCACTCTGCCTAAAGAACTGGCAGAAAAATAAAATCTAATTTTAAGTTTAAATGCAGTAATATACAGAGAAGTTGTAAAGGTAAAGTAAAATTCTGAAATGAGAAAGCGTGGGTTTGGGTTTTTGTTTTTTTTTGTTTGGTTTTTTTTTTTGTTGTTGTTGTTTGTTTTTGTTTTTTTTTTTTGCTTCCCTCCATAAGCACAGCAAGCAACAAACGAATTTGTTATTCACAAGGTAGGTCATATTCTATCTCAGTGAGCTCAACATCAGGACAGAGAGCCAGATATCACAGTTGGGTTGCACATACCTTCCTGGCAAGAGGTTATTTAAATATACTAAATATATTAACCTTGATTTATATTAGGTTCTAACAAAATAATTAGTACTTACACAGATCTTTTGTATCCATGAACTTGTTCTTCTGTCAGATGTAGGCTAAGTAAGATAAATTACCATGACAAAAGACCACAGAAAAGGACAATGAAAGAACTGAATTTATTGCAAGTCCTTAATTCCTTAGTTACATCTTTGCCTCCCCTCCCATTTCCTTGTAATAAATGCTTGGGATAATAATCCTACAACCCAGAATTGTAAAAATTAATTTTAAGAATCATATCTCTCTCCAGCATGTTTCAGTTCTCCTTACCTCGGTCAGTATCAACAAGCTCACCTGTAACAGCCAGGAGTCTCCCTAACCCATCTGTCAGATTTTCAAACCAAAAACCTTGACTGTCCCTCTTGTGCTTGCTTGGATTTCAATGAATAATCTTATAAATAGGTGAAATATGAATTCCTTTCAGTTTTCTCCTTAAAAATCTCTTAGGGAGAACAGAAGTCAGGTTGCTAGGACACTGCAAATGCATTTTACCCATGCTAATCAATATGGTCTCATTTACTTGTGAGCTTTATCTACAACCAGTTATTGCCTCTTGTTTAATACTATTAGGTCAAGTTCTCTTCTGCAAGTACTGCTCCTTCTGCACTTGTATTCATCTACTACAACACAAAACACAAATAAGCATCATACTTCCTACACTTACAGAGTTAACATATCTTTCCATTTTTGAGTAATTTTCACCACTCAGGACAGAGCTAACAGTGGCAAGATGATCAGCCTAACAAAAAAAAAGAAAAAAATATAATTCAGACACAAACATAGAGCACCTACACCAAAAATACAGCTTATCTACCAAGACAGTCAATCTTCTCATTCTTTGTAAAAAAAGGCAGAAAATTTAAAATATTTCCTATTCCCAGGCTTAGAAAGAGAAATTGTTTGGCAGCAAAGACACTGGGCCTAATTGTCTCAGGCAACCAGGGAAGAAAGAGCCAAATCAGCAGGAGCACGCAGAGTATGTGTCAGCTTGTTTGTGGTGGATCACCGTTTCCCGTTCCAGCATGGCCCATGCAAGAAATCTCTTCCTGGGTACATGCGCAGAGCCAGCCAAGTTGTAGATTAAAGTATGCTATGGACTACTGCCCGGAACAACTCAAAACCATCTTCTTCCTCTGTCACACAGGCTAAAAGCTAATCTTAAGTAGCATGGGTAGGAACCAACTGGCAGTGTGCAAAAGGGAGCGGTGAAGCGAAGTAGGTATTACAAGTACATTCAGACAGCTTTGAGATCCAGCTGCTCAGCCAAACAACTTAATATAGCAAATCACCAATACCATGTTCTTTGCATTCTACAAGTACAAAGCAAAGCATGGTGCCTTAAATTACCATTAAAAATTGTTAGCAACTTTAAGTGAAGGGTATATAATGAACATCTGTGCTTACAGAAGATATAATCCAGAAATGCTCACATACATTTTCATATATTCCTGAAAGACTTGCAACTTGTCCTCTGGAAGACTGCATTTGACAATGAGAAATTAATTACAGCTCAGACAAATTCTTCCCAGCAAGACAGCTCTTCCATATCTCAAGGTATCCCAGCTGAGACAACAAGAAAGGAATATGATCCAAATAGGCCTTTGTATCTCCTAACAAGACCTTCCCTGCCTCAGTCAGTCATCCAGATACAGGTACATACGATTTAGATGTGTAATTTCAACAACTAAAAATTTATTAAGAAATTTATTACCACGAGGACTCTCAAGAATAATTACTGGTAATGATTCAACTGCTTAATTTCTTGAGAACCAGGCAGACTGCAAGTGCTGAAAGACAACAGTCAATAGAGACATGTTAGGTCTGAGCTTACAGAGCTATAAAGGTAGAAATTAAACACTGGGCCTCCTCTTATCCAGGTTATGGTGAAGACCAGTCTTTTTAATTTGAAATTAAAGTGTCCATATTCCTCCATATTCTTTGAGAACATCTTTGGTGCCTTACAAGAATTATCAAGAACATTTTCATATCACACTCTTGTGAGACAGTTTCCTGAAATACAGAGAAAGTAGGCAGCACCATAATAAACAAAGGGGTGGGTTAGGCAACCAAAAGCAATAAGCCAACATTTACTGGTTTGATGATGAGACCGACTAACTAGCAGAACAGGGTAAGTCAGAATTCAAAAGTCATTTGACAAGACTCAGTCTGGTGCAGTCCTTAGTTATACTGTCCGACGTTACAGCAAGGAATCGAGCAACTGTGTATTGCTAGAGATGAGAAAACTTGTCATCATTATATTTTTGATGCTTTTTAACACAGGTTTGCATCTAGGCAATGCTTTGGCTTCTGCTCAGGACAAAACAAATTGCAGTCGTGAAAAGGAAAGGCAGGACTGCATAGCTTGCTTTCATCACTAACTTTACAGCATTTGCAGTCATCTCTGAGTAGTTTAGAGCTATAGGTGGTGACTGGTAGCCTACTTGCCAAAGATTTAGGATCCTGTACACTTAGGACTGATACTTCATGGACAATAACCATCAGGCTCACAGTACTAACTGCAGCACCCAGGCCTGTAGGACCATCCCAGCTACTAAGCAGCCTTTCTTTAATTTGTTTTTGTTGCCATGAGTGAACTCAGCAATCAAGATCCATATTATCAGAGAATCATCCTCAGTCATCAAGTCCTGGCATTTACCTTTTCAGAAT